ATTGGATGCAACACTGTCCACTTTTAGGAGATATTGAATGAGACAGTGCTCTGATTTCACCAAGGACTAAATATAATTCATGGAATTTACATAAGAATACTTGTAATCCTGCTGCAAGTTCTTAGGAAAACAGCAAGGGATTTTTCTCACTGGTAAAAAGAAAGTAACTTTTAAAAAGGAATGTTAGCCTTTGGTTCAAGAATTAATATATTTTTAAATAGTTTTTAATTTTATTTATTATCATTATTATTATTATGTAATTCACCAGGGAAAGACAGAGAGGAAAAGTGAGAAGCAAGCTGCCAGGTCTGGGATTCAAACCACAGTGAGTCATTTGGGAGTCCAACACCTTAACCACCACACTGCTTGCTGGCCCTCAAGAATTAATATTAACAAACTACAGTTTAGTAATCAATGTATCCACATCTTGCATTCTATTCATGAGATCAAGGGATGTAATTAAAAAAGAAACACACAAAGGCAATTTGGATTATGACATGGTTAACCTACTTAGCAAAATATGAAGCCTACTGAGAGATTTCCATCCAAAAATGGTGAAAGTTAAAAGTTTCTATCCTTAAAGAATCAGTATTCACTTTTCTACAGAGATTACTGTAGTTGAAACAGATCAATTTCCTATTAAAGGTATAAAAGTCGGAAGTTATAACACGTGACACTTCTAGAGACTGTTCTTCAGCACTCGTTAGCTGTATGACACTGAGAAAGTTACTTCACCTGCATGTAGTTTTAGAAAATTATTCTATTAGTTGAAAAATTCTTGAGAGTCAGCAGGTGGCATGTGATTGAGGTTCTGTATTACCATATGGTCAACCACAGTTCGAGTCCCATACCTTCCTCACTTTCTCTATTTCTGGTGAGCATGCTGTAGCAAATTAACAATAATAATGACAAAAGATATTAAATAAATAATTATTTTTAATTATTTTTTTTGGAGAGGTTTTTGCTATAGGATACGTGCGCTCACCAGACAGACAGAGAGAAACAGAGAGATAGAAAGAGAGAAATCACCCCCCGGGCGATGGCCACCCCGCAATCCCTTCTCCTCCATTGTCATCTTGGGATCTTGGGCACGCACAACACAAGCGCGGCATCAGTTTAAGCCACCAGATCCAGGACTCGAACCGTGGTCGATTACATGGGAGTCCAGCAACATAGCCATTACACTAACTGCTGGTCCCCTATTTTTAATATATTTTTGAAAAAAATATTTTATTTAACGTTATGCATTTATTTTAATTTCTCCAGAAAGAGAGATAGAGAGCAAGAGAATAAGTGAGAAAACCAAGTCCAGGATTCAAACTATGGTTGGCCAGGTGGGGGTTGGCCAGGTGGGAGTCCAGCATCCTTAACTACCATGCCACCTGCCAGCCCCAAATAAATAATTATTAAAAAAAAATAACTTTTCAAACGAGGCCTACCAAATTATATGTTATTAATAAAAGTTTGTTCTGTTATTATAATGGTAGTAATAATAGCAAGTATAATTAACTATCCTCATCTAGTTGGATGTTCACTATCCACTGGTATAATTTTTATTCTTGTCAGGAGATCTTTTCAGTTATAGGATATGTATACAAATGCAATTCCAATGTACACCATTTTGGCAATAACTTTATCTCAACTCATTGGTAAGAACACTAAAGGTAGAGACAATATTTTCTAGAACACTTACAGAGCCTGAAAGCCCATGTTTCAGAATTCTGAAAAATATGCTCCATAGTGATTCAAGAGAGTTTTCTTGAGTCACCAGGTAGCGTGGTGGTTAAGGTGGCTGGATACTACATAGCCCACTGAGGAATTTATCCTGTAGTTTTAAAAACATGATGAGCACATGTGCATGTGTACCTACAATCAAAAGAAGAGAATGGAAGAGCAGGCGTTGCAATGTAGCTATGCCCCTAGAGTGCACAGTCTCACTTCCCCCTCTCTTTCACTGCCCTACCACACACACAAAAAGGACCTTTCTTTTACTTCTACAAAAGAAATATTTTATTTCAAAAATCAATAGTAAGTGACACTAGTCACTTTCTTTAATATTAAACTCAGTTTTTACAACCATGTTTCTAAGCTGGGGACAAAAATGAGATTATGAAATGGTGCTTTATTGCCTACCTTTTTGGAAGTTAGAGGGTGGTCAAAGAAATAAGAATCAAATACTGAAAGAATCACCTCACTCTTGGCACCTACCACACGGTTCTGGGACCAGAATGGAGACAGAATGGCATAAAAGTCTCATGAAGAAAGAGTTACTGCATGAAGGCACGTCTGAAAAAGCACCAAGAACAGGAAGGAAGCTCTGGGCTTAAAGGACATCATCCATGTTCAGCTTTCTCCTCCTGCTGCCATTGTAACATGAATCAGGTTGATCATTCAATACTTAGCAGAAAGTAACCATGATTTAGTGTTCCTTCTAAAGCAATGCTGAATTCTTGTTCTTTAATTACCTCAGATTTTCAGCAGTATACCTGACATTGGCACTTCCTTAATAAATTTTAATAAATTTTCAGCATTTTTACTATTTTATAAATTATATAAAAAAGTAAAATCAGAAGGGGGGGTGGCGAGTGCAAGCCACCTGGTCCAATACTCAAACCATCATCAGCCAAGTGGAAGTCTAGTGCCTTTAACCACCACACCACCTGCCAACCCCACCAGAAACCTTTAAAAAAACCAAATTACAGGCTCACCTGCTAGAGAGTGAACAGCACCCTGAACCCTTGTGATTACATCGGGTCCACACAATAATCCAGGATACTCTCCCTAGGTCAAGGTCGGCTGATTAACTACCTTAATTCTACCTGAAACCTAATTCTTCTTTGCCATGAAGTGTAACATGTTCAGAGGTTCCCGGATTAGGATCTGCAGCTTTCAGGGGTGGAGTGAGGTCAGGCATTATGTTTTCTGCTACTGTCCCTTTTCTCTTTCTGTTGTCTTTTGGGTACAATGAACTCAAGGAAGCTACACACACACACACACACACACACACTTCACAACACTTTACAAAACCAGATAGGAATAGGAAAATTAAGATATTCCATCTTTCCCTCTTTCATTTCCTTTTAACACAGGACTCCGAGGATAAGTGAGCATTATGTTTACATTGTTGTCACTGCCCGTGATCTGCTCACGTATTCTACAACATTTACATACATAATTGACATCCCATAAGATTTTCTTCATTTTCTTTTCTGCAGAAATGTATCATATGGTATGCTTTTCAATACACAGGACATAATGATGCCATCCAATCCAACAACTCACCCTGGAGTACATGGAAATATACTTAGTCTTTATCCCAAAATCATTTTTATGTCTCTTGTGTCCCAATAATTTCTAGGTTACGTAAACCTAGGAAAACAAGCTCTGTGTGGTCAACCTCTTTTCATCACACCTCCAGAATCTCTGCCAGTCACCTGGGTCAAGGAAATTCACAAATGGCAAATGAACAATATAAGAGAAGAGCAAAGACACTGGGGGTAAGTCTATTTACTTTCAGAATTTTAATTTTACATTTGCAAAGTTTTCGTGCCCTTTCAAGAAACAGAAAGTATATATTACTTTCAATAATCTGAACATCACTCTGGAAACTTACCTTTTAAGTAAAAATAATTAATCTACAGAGAGACTTTACCCTGAGATCATCTTATTTTAGATTCAAGCAAGAATCTAGCAGATGACCCAGGACTCTCTATAACAGGAGAACTCAAGAGTTTTGACATGATGGGAGCCCCACTACTTCTAGCTTGATCTCACTTCTGCAAAGCACTTTTTTGACAACCCCAGTCCTGCCTCTGGATTGGTTAAAGCCTGGTATTTGCATACAAGTGAACATGCATTAAAATTAGCATCAATGGCTGCCTTAAAGGGAAGAAACTACATCTTGGAAGTCTAGGGAAGGCTGTATGTGAAAAATGAGAAGACATTCCCTTTCCTGTGCCTCTGTCACCAGTACTCTTAGAGATGCTATGACTTAACTGCCACCTCACTTCTACAAGGAGTCGTTTGAACTGAACACTCACAATTTTGTTTCTGTGGGCATTGCAAAACATGCTCTGCCCATGGTTGAACATCCCACCTGGCTGGCAGAATTGTCAGTCCCTTCACTGTGCTTTGAGGCAGCTCATTCTTACCACTGACACAATTCTATGACATTGTATTAGGTCCCTCCCTGTGTGCACCTCCAACTTCTCTGCTACAGCTGTCAGTAAATTATACTGAATGCCCACTACATGCCTAAAATTCTTCTAACCCTCTTACTGCCTACATCAAGTTCCAGCAAAGTAAAAATGAAAATCGGCTTCCCACCATTAGTCAGTCTGAGCTCTAGAGGTAACCCCTCCAATGCTCAACCTGCCAGACAGTGGAAATTTCCTGCTCCATTGGGCAAATGGGAAAAACTAGCACCTCAAACAGCCAACCCCACATAGATGCTTAGAATATCATAGAACACAATGCAGGTGCAGTCTCTGCTCTGATGGAGCCTACATCTCAGTGGTAGACATACGATCATATGCAGGATAAAGAAGTCCATAATGTGTTAGAGATGACAATGATCTAGAGAGAATGAAGAAAAGTAGAAGAAGTAAGCGAGAAGTGATCGGAAATTTCATTTGCTAAGAGAGGGCTTTCCTTAGTATTTGTTTGAGCAAAGACATGAGGTTAGGAAAAAGCTATGTAGAATTCATGCAAGAGGAAATGATCAGTGGAAAACTCTTTAGATAGAAATGTGTGATATAGTCATTGGAATCCCTCACAGTGAATCTTTGACTGTGTTTTGGGTGAGAAATATTTATTCAGATTCTTTTTAACTCATTTCCAACACCACTAGCTAGATGGCCACTAATCCATTTATACATACCAAACTGTCCAAGTTTACTGTGAAAACAAGCAGTTTGATCAGGAGAAAAAGTCATGATTGTCATACACGTTGTCCTTTTTCTAGTCTAACGCACTGACGAAAGATACGTAATGTCATACCAATTTTCCTGGTTAACTTTCAGGCACTATCAAATGCTCGAGATAAAAACTTAATCACACAAGAATTATAATTTGCCTCATCTAAGAATTACCTTCTATTTCACTAGTCTTGACACTCACACATTGGAAATAAATACTCTGTTTTCAAAGAGTCAGGCTCTGATCCTTCCCTTTTCCATGACTTCCTATTCGGGTGAGAGGGTCTTGTAGCTCAGGAGACAACACAGGGTGTTTTATTAGCAGTTTTTCATAGTTAACAGCACACAGGGGAGAAACTGCTTGTAATTAGGTACTATCCTTTGCTTGCCTAGGACCAGATAAGAACTTTCAGCTAAGGTACTTACTCTTCCTCCTGGAGTCTTCAGGTTTGTTTATCCTGTCTCTGTTAGCCAGATCTGTCCTTTCTCTATTAACTCACAGGTCCCTGTATTTATTTGCTGAAATCTTTGTCTGTTAATCAGTGAATTCTTGTGCTAATTTGGCCTAATACAAGTTAACTTTGGCCTGTAGCTTAAACAAGGGGTATTTATGTAAAACTAGCCTTAAACTAACTTAGTCTACATATGTTACTAACACTAATTTGACTAATTTGACTTAATACTAACTTAATCTTAACATATGTTAATTTGGGCTGAAACAGACAGGTTGGGGAGTCTGTCTCAGGTTCTCTGGCCCTTTACCCTTGCAGGGTACCATAATAACAGTAAAACTCACGGCAGAGAAATTGAGTGCAGGCCAGTACAGTGACACAATGGAGGGTTTATACCAGCTTCTGTTGTCTGCATGGCCCCTTCATGGCAGGAGGGCAGAGTGGTGATCAGACCTGGAAAGACCTGTAGAACTGAAGGTTTTGACTCTGACTGGGTGGAATGAGGAGTCACTAGAGCATTTTACCTGGTACTAAATAGGCTTACACTAAAGGATAAGTGGAGTTTGTTTTTAAAAAGCTCCAATTAGCAGAATCCTCTTCCGCTCCCTGAAGATGGCGCATCTATGTCATTAACAGCCCTCAATCCCTGCAACAGTGCGGGTGGGATGGCATGGAACATCTATACCATTTCCATTAGAACTTAAAGAGAGTCTGCGGTCAAATATGCAGAACAAATTATTTTTCCAAATTGTTAAGCCTGTCTTGTAGGCAATTTTGATCAGTAAATGGTGCAGCCAGGGTTATATAAGGAGAAAAGATGGCCATGTGAACCCAGGATCAAACTGCTTCTCATCAAAACAACAGCAAGGATGAGAATGGAAATGCATGGCTAGATGACTGCACGGTTGCCCCAGAAAAAAGCTTGTAGCTACAAAGTCTAGAGTCTAATTCAGGAGTTCTTCATCTAGGCTGTATGGTTGGCTAAAAGAGGCCCATCATACCTCTGAAGCTATATGTAAATTGCAGTGTGTGTGTGTGTGTTTACACATGCCTGCATGTATGTGTGCATGCGACTGGTAATAATTATTCAGAGAATATGTTGCCTGGCTTTTATCAGAGTCTCAAAGAACTTCATAATTCAAAAAAAAAGTCAGCATTACTAATGATGCTGAGTTTTTCTCATTTTAAATGTAGTTTATGGTGCTTAGTAGCTATTTCCAAAAGAAATAAACATACCCATCTTTGGATTTGTAAGACTGGTAAGGTATATACTTTGGAAAAAGTTCGTTTTTAATCTATAGCTGACTTTTGGAACAATCTAGACATAGTTGATTCTTAGAAATCTCTGCTTAGGATAACAAAAGGTGCACTAAGATGTACTGTACAAAGAAATAAAAGATATATATCATATTTTTGGAAATATATCTCTTGGCTGACAAGAAAATGTTTCAAAAAAATAACCTCACGTATATAGCACAAAATGAAGAAATAAGGTTTGTTTTATATCACAAAATGCAGTGGAGTTTAGAAGGAAATAAAAAAGATAGGCTCATTTGACTGGTGTAATTAAGGCTTCATAGAAAGGTGGAGCTGAGCGAGCCTGCAGGGAGGCAGCACTGACTAGTTAAGATGCAGGCAGTGTAACCGGAGTCAATTTGCTGCTGTCAATTCCCAGATCTTCCCCTTACCAGTCATGTGACCTGAACACCTAATTTCTCCATATCTGTTCTCCATCTGGTTGTTGAGGGGATTACATGAAAAAATGATTGTGAAGTGTTTAGAATATTAGCAGGCATATAACTAGTGCCCAACAAATGATTCTATCTTCACTGATCCCTTTACCCAAACTGGGACTATACAAACAGAAACTTTGTTCCGTGTGAAAATGACAGGTGGGAAGTCATGGTTAAAGCATTTGTTTTCTAAGAGTCTTTTAGAGGCTTTCAGGAGATGCTGGTACATGGTCAAGTACTTGCACATTCTGAACTGTTCTTGGGCTTCCCAGCCAAATCTACTCAAATGCCTCAAACAAGGCCAAGGCCCTTGCTCCCCTGTTATTCTAGTGTATGTATGTCAGTCACCATGGCCTGCCTGCTGCTTTACAGCCAGAACTCAGTGGAACCCAGAGTTCTTGGCCAAGTTGACAATATATGAGCAGGAGCAGCAATGATGGTAACGCTTCACAGCCCTGACTATGAAGAAGTGATTTTAAAATGCCTGTTTTCTCTTTAAGGCGGTCCAGATCATGATTGGATTTGCGTGCATTGGTTCTGGAATTATTTTGGCTTTAATGAACCATGTTTCTGAATATATTGGGAATTTTGCCTCCATGACTTTGATTGCTGGATATCCATTTTGGAGTGGTGTCTCTGTGAGTAGACATTAGAATATATCTCCTTATCAGTTTTTAAAATATAATGATCTCCAACCTATTCCTCACTAATTTCTTAATAAGCCCTGCATCTGAGATCTGAAGAATTTAGAGGGGAAAAAAAGGACGGAACTTTAGCTCCCTATTTTAACTTGTACCTTAAACCCACATGAGAAATTTTCTTCTGGTCAAGTCATTAGCAAGTTCTTTTAGGTTCCATTACATTTCATATGGAAATGTTTATGTTGAATGGAAAGTAGAAAAGCAGATGATTAGAAACATCATTAAAAACATACAACTGGGGACCAGCAGGCGGCGTGTAGATTAAGAGAACTGAATCGCACACGGCCTACTCTATGGTTTAAATCCCATTTAGGGCAGCCTGAAAATCACATCCTACATATGCACCTGCATGCCCTAAATCCTTAAAGAAGAATAGAGGAGAAGGAATTGCTGCTTGGCCTCCACTGAAAGTGTTTATGTACATATAAAAAAAAAAAAAATACAACTGATGGGCCTGCAGGTGGCATGTAGGTTAAGACAGCTGAGTCGCACACAGCCTACTCTATGGTTTGAGTCCTATTTAGGACAGCGTGAAAATCACATCCTACACATGTGCCTGCGTGTCCTAAATCCTTAAAGAATGGAGGTGAAGTACTTGCTGCATGGCCTCCATTGAAAGTGCTTGTGTACATATATATACATGTATGCATACATATATATACACACACTTATATACACATACATACATATATATGTATGTATATGTATATATGTATACTCATACTTTAAATTTTTAAATATGTTTGACATAGGGTGTGTGTGCCTCTCAGAGAGAGAGACACACACAAAGAGAGAGAAAGTGAGAAATCATCCTTCAGGGAGATGGCCATACAGCAATCCCTTCTTCTCTAATCTCCTTTCAGGATTTAGGGCATGCATGCACATGTCCCTGATGTGATTTTCAGGCTGTCCTAAATGAAATTCAAACCATAGAGTAGACCGTGTGCAATTCAGCTGTCTTAACCTACATGCCACTTGCTGGCCCACCAGTTATATATATAAACACAACTGACAATGAGAAGAGGTTCCGCAGTCAGCTTAGAAATCATCACACGGAAAGGGTACAGGTGATAAGCAGAAAATGAACCTTAAATGCAAGAAACTAAAGGGGGGAAAAGGAAGTTTATGAAATATCTTGGAGAAAATTGAGAAATAAGAGATAAAATTTTTAGAGGGGAACTAAATAAATACAGATATGCCAGTCTCTCATATTAAATGTTTCTAGGCAAAAAGGTTCATTATTTCACAAATAAATTTGTCTATTTCTACAGTTCATTATTTCTGGCTCTATTTCTATATCAGCGTCCCCAACTGACTCCTATCTTCTGGTAAGTTAGAATATTTCTGCTTTTTATAACTTTCTAAAGATTAGTATATATTCTTGGTGAGGAAAATTGAGAAGATGGATTTTAAAAAGGCAAATGGGAGTTTGTCTCCCAAACTGCTTATTCCCTCCATGGTACATGGGCTGGGACAGGAATGGGCCATGCATTTGTCACTCAGATATCACAGAGCTCTGCATCCCGACTCTTGAACTCCCAGGGTGGGAGGCAGTGAAGGTAGGGGTTGTTTTAACTTTAACCTACTGACTTCCCAGTTTAGTTGGATCTCACTTCATTAGCAAACGTTAAAAGAAGAATCTGGGAGCCAAAACACCTATTTGCCACTTGAATAACAAAGTTTTGATTCACAGTTATTTAAACTGACATTAAAAGCATCTAGATCAGATCACAGCCCTTACCTGTTGCAATTTCCCAGTCTAATTTTGAGTCAGGAAGAAAATACTTGCCAAGAACTAGAGCCAACCAGACAAGATGTAGTACAAGATTATGAGTAATCCAGTACAAGAGGGAAGAACGGAGAAAGGGTTACATAAAGTCTTGCTCATGCTCTTCCAGGCAAAATAAATAAAGTAATTAATTAATTAATTAATTTAATTTAATTACAATCAGCCTAAACCTGACTAATCACTCCTATTTTAACATAAATAAACAAATATAAATAAATATGTAAATTGTACTTTCTCTGCATCCTTTATGGGTCCTTCCCTCTAACTGAAATTGTCTGAACACAGGCTCTGTCTTCGGGAGAAGATAACCACTGAAACTTACCTAATGTAATTTTTCTAAATTTCACCTTTCCTAAGAGTGTTTTAGAGTCCTGCAGGCAACTCAGGCATGCTGAAGCAACAGCACAGTTGATACAACTCTTAGTGTGCCACCCCCAGCAAGTCAGTTCAAAAGGTGACTTCACAATTATTCTGCTGCATATCAAAATCTTACTAAAGAAACAGGAGAGTTTTGTAGTCTGCCCTTATACCTTTGCCCCAAAAAGCTTAAATGTAGGTTCTTTACCTAGTTCCTAGAGAAACATCAGGGTTTTTATGAATTCCAAATTTTACCAGCAAAGTTTTGTTGTATGTACTTTCCCCTCTATACAATCAGATAATGTAGTCCCACCTCATATAATGGCAATAGAGTTAAATAGAATAATATATTTAAATCATTTAACACAGTGCCTGTCACAAAATAAAAAATAAATGATTAAAAGTTTACTGGCTGTTTTCTTGTTTTTAAAAAGGAGGTATAGTTATTATCCATAAGGATTTTACATAAACATAATAAATAAGTTTCTACCTTATATTATTTACATTTCCTATGGCTTTTTTGAAGTACCCTTTCTCTACACTACACGTAGAGTGATTTTCAGGGAACCCACCCAGAAGGGCAGAAAAAAATCATATCAACTTCAAACAAAAAATTGTTTCCGGATCCAGCCATGGTAGTGCACAATGGCTGCTGCTACTACCTGGTAGACTGAGGCTACACAGGAGGCCCAAGTTTGATTCCTGACCCAACTTTGAAAAAAGGCAGGCACATTACCTCTAGCCTGAAGTCCCAGCTATGTGGGAGGATGAGACAGAAGGATCTTGATAGAACAAGATCCCGTCTAAAAACAGCAACAAAAACTGTTTCTGGGGAACCAGCAGTTAGCGTAATGGCTATGTCGCTAGACTCCCACGTAGTCGACTGCGGTTCATGTCCCGGACCCAGTGGCTTAAAACTCACGCCTGGCGCGTGTGCGTGCGTGCCCAAGATCCCCAGAGGAGAATGGAGGAGAAGGGATTGCGGCGTGACCATCCCCCCTGGGGGGTGATTTCTCGCTTTCTGTCTCTATGTCTCTCTCTCTCTGTCTGCCTGGCGAGCGCACGCGCCCTACAGTGAAAATCTCTCCAAAAAAAAAAAAAACTGTTTCTGGATTTCAAAGATTGAGAACCATTAGATTAGATTATTCTTACTCCATTTAATTTCATTTATCTAATATAAAATTTACTTTTCTTGTCACCTCCATTAGTATCGAAGCAGCCAAGCAATGAATTCGGTTAGTGCTATCATTTCTCTTATTGGACTGGGTCTGCTGGGGCATGATGTGTCCATCAAAGTTGTACTTACTGAAGACTATGGGGCAGTGGTAAGTATCACATGATCTACTACATGCTTGCTTCCTTGTCACTCTAAAGGAGTGAACCTTTTTTTTTGTTTAATTTCATTTATTTATTATTATATTTTTATTTACTTATTTTTTTTGAGAGAGTTTATTGCTATAGGGTACATGTACTTGCCAGTGAGACAGAGAGAGACAGAGACAGAAAGTGAGAAATCACACACCACCGCCCTCCTCCCCCCAACTGGCAGATGGCCATGCTGCAATCCCTTCTCCTCCATTTTTCCTCTTGGGATTTTGGGCACACATGCACATGTGCCTAGTGTGAGTTTTAAGCTGCCAGGTCTAGGATTCAAACCATGGTCAACTATGTGGGAGTCCAGTGATGTAACCATTGTGCCATTTGCTGGGCCTGATTATTTTAATTTGCTATAGGTAATATAACTTAACAGAGTGAAAGAGAGAGTGAAAGTGATAAAGCAAACTACCAGATCTGGGACTCGAACCATGGTCAGCCATGTGTGAGTCCAGCACCTCAACTACCAGACCATGAACTGGCCCCTGTTTTTACCTTTTATTACTGTCAGCAGCTCTAGTAGAAAATATCTTTTCTGTATTCCAACCCTACCCCTAGTCATGTGATAGCTACCACTACAGAACAAAGTAAGTTACCTCTATCTACGGACTAAGACAGAAAGGGCTCTCTTATTCACCCATCTCAAAGTTAATCACATTGACAATGGGAAAAGGTCTGGATCAACTTTTAAGACTCCTGTAAAACACCCTTAAATCGTTTTCCAAAGATTTGACAGTCTACATAAATAAGATAGTCAAGGCACTGAATGAATTTTTTTTTTTAGAGTAAGAATGTGGCAGTGACAAAGTCATAATTTTTTACTGAAGAAATTCAAAGAATGAAGCAATATTATCTTATAATCAATACAAAATTCTTCATGACAATGTTGTGCTATTGAAAATCTTTATAATAAAATGAGAGAATGAAATAAAAAGAACATTGCAGAGCTACAGAAATCAATGGAATACCAAGATTCACTATTATATATTTTAAAAGGAAGTCACACACAGCAAGAAACATAATGGACTCAGATAAAAATGGTAAAGAATAACAATATAGTCATGGTAATGTAAAAGAAAAAGATTAAGTGTTTAGAGAGAGAATATACATGGAAGATAGGTGTCTTCTTGGTCTGTTATTGTGTTGTGAACAGAAATTCCCGAGACTGGATGATGTATTAAAAAAATAGAGTTCTGGGACCAGCAGTTGGCGTAATGGTTATGTCTCTGGACTCCCATGTAGTCGACCACGGTTTGAGTCCCAGACCTGGTGGCTTAAACTCATGCTGGGCACATGCGCATGTGTGCCCAAGATCCCGAGAGGAGAAGGGAGGAGAAGGGATTGCAGCGTGGCCATCCCCTCTGGGGGCTGATTTCTCACTTTCTATCTCTATGTCTCTCTCTGTCTATCTAGCAAGCGCATGCGCCCTATAGCAAAAACCTCTCCAAAAAAAAAAAAAAGAAAAAAAATAGAGTTCTATTTGACTAGTGATTCCAGTAGCTGGAATGTCCGACCACATGTGACTGGCATCAGACCAGCTACCACACAGCTAACAAAAGTAGGGGGGGATGATGGTTAAGTGCAGAAAGAGAGCAACCAAGGAAAGCCATTTTTATGACCACCTGAGAATGAGAACTAAGCCCTTTTCATAAGAGCTAGAACTCAGTCTCTCAGGAGACTGAGTTAATCCATTCACAAGGCTGGTTCTTTCATGATTCAATCACCATTATCCACTCAGAGGTTTCACCACTTCCCAACACAATTTAATTGGGGACTAAGTTCCAAAACAGAAGCCTTTGAGGGTCGAACCATAACCCGAACCATAGGCAGAGTTGATCCAACTTAGTGGTAATTTATGTTCCTGAGTTAGAGAATCTTGTAAATTTTTTAGGAAAACAAAAGTATTCAAACATACTTGAAAAACAAATTCCCTGTGAAGGAAAATAACTGAATTTGAAAACTGACAGAGAATAACCTATTCTAGGAGAAATAGATGCAAAGTGATTGGATAAAAGATGAATGGAGTACTCCATGAAGTCAACTAAGACTGAGTAACTATGGAAATGATAGTTGCATAACTGAATATAGTAGGTTTATCTCTACAAAAGTGAAAAACAAAATAGTTGGGGCCAGCAGGTAGCATAGTGGGTAAGGCGCTGGACTCCCACACAGTTCAAGTCCCAGATCTGGAGGCTTGAAACTCACACCAGGTGCATGTGTGTATGCCCATAATCCCGAGAGGAGAATAGAGGAGAGGGGATTGTGGCATGACCATACATTCTGAGGGATGATTTCTCACTTTCTCTATCTAGCTCTGTCTCTATAGCAAGTATATACACAATATAGGAAAAAAAAAAAAAAAAAAGAACTCTCTTGAAAAAATGAAATAGGCACCAGAAACTGGGATGTAATGAGGAGAGGTAGAATGAGATACATTTTTTCATAATAAACAATCATTTTTGATCAAATATTGAAACTTTAGTTTTAAAATGACTTCAATTGGGAACCAGCAGTTAGCGTAATGGCTATGTCGCTGGACTCCCATGTAGTCAACCGCGGTTCGCATCCTGGACCCGGTGGCTTAAAACTCACACCAGGCGCGTGTGAGTGCGTGCCAAAGATCCCGAGAGGAGAATGGAGGAGAAGGGATTGCAGCGTGACCATCCCCCCTGGGGGGTGATTTCTCACTTTCTGTCTCTATGTCTCTCTCTGTCTGTCTGGCGAGCGCACACGCCCTATAGCGAAAACCTCTCCAAAAAAAAAATGACTTCTACTTCTTCATAGTTTCCATAAATATTTTTGTTTACTAGGTCTAAATTTCATTCTCTATTTTCTTGTAATTTTGCCAGAGCTAGAGCTAGCAGGTGGCATGGTGATTAAGATTCAGAAATGGTTCAAGTCCCAGTTGTGATTCAAGTCCCAGACCCAGCAAATTGCCCCATATCCTGAGAGAATTGGAGGAGAAGGGATTGCAATCTGTCCATCCTTCCCTGGAAAGGGGGAATGATTTCTCACTTTCTGTAGACCTAGTGAGCACACACACACACTATGGCAAAATTTGTAGCCCTAGGAGGCACACACCCCCCCTTGAGAAAAAAAAAAAAAAAAAAAAAACCTTTGCCTGAGGGCACATGACAGAGAGACAGAGAGAGAGAGAAGTGCAGTGAGAAAGCACATCCCATGGGGAATGATTATACTGCAAACCCTTCTCCATTTCCCCCTCCTTTTGGGTAGCAGGCACACACACCTGGTGTATTTTTTTTTTTTTTTTTGGAGAGGTTTTTGCTATAGGGCGCGTGCGCTCGCCAGACAGACAGAGAGAGACATAGAGACAGAAAGCGAGAAATCACCCCCCGGGGGGATGGTCACGCCACAATCCCTTCTCCTCCATTCTCCTCTCAGGATCTTGGGCACGCACGCACACGCGCCCGGCGTGAGTTTTAAGCCACCGGGTCCGGGACACGAACCACAGTCGACTACGTGGGAGTCCAGTGACATAGCCATTACGCTAACTGCTGGTTCCCACACCTGGTGTATTTTTAAGCCACTGGGTCAGTGTCTTAAACCATATGGTTGGACTTAATGGGATTCAGCCATGTTAACCACCATGCCATGGGCTGGTCCAGCGGATTTAATTTGACTTCAGTTATTTTTCTTCTTTTAAAATTAAGTAAACTTAATACTTTGCTCTTGAAATAAGAAGTATAACATGATTTTCTTCTGGGTCATCCCCATGGCCTAGTGGTTAAGGGAACTGGATCCCACATGGCCAACCACAGTTAAAATCCCAACTCTGGTGGCTTAAAAAGCACAGTGGGTACATTTATATGTGTACTCAAATTCCCAACAGAAAGGGAAATGGAGAAGGGATTGTGAGTGACCATGCTCCACTGAGGAGTGGGGTATTCTCTGTCTCCTCTTTCTATATTTCTCTGGTATGTACATTCTAAAGACAAACACATACACACACACACACACACACACACACACACACACATACATATATTTTTATATATGCATTATGCATGTGTGTGTGTGTGTGTATATATATATATAAATGTTTCTCTCTCTTGCTTGTTCTCATTCCCTCTCTTGCTCACTCATTTTATCCTCTCTTCTTTTCTCTCCATACATCCATTCTCCTATTTGCCTTTTGTCTCTACATAGAGATCAAGAGTAATAGTCATTGGGACTAGCAGTTAATGTAATGGCTATGTTGCTGAACTCCCATGTAGTTGACCACAGTTCAAGTCCCAGACCCAGTGGCTTAAACTCACGCTGGGTGTGTGTGTATGCCCAAAATCCCTAGAGGAGAATGGAGGAGAAGGGATTGTGGCATGGCCATCCCCCCTGGGGGGGTGATTTCTCGCTTTCTGCCTCTCCCTGTCTCTGGCAAGCATACACACCCTGTAGCAAAAAAACTCTCAAAAGAGAAAAAAAGAAGAATAATCATTGATGATCATTTTGATTATTTCTAGGCAGTGACATTTCAGATGATCACTTGGTTTCTATGTTGTTGATTTATTTTTAATAACTGTATAAATGTTCATATTATTAAAAACAAAGAGCCCTTTTAAAAGGAAAAAAAAAACCTCCCTTCTTTTTAATATTTCTAAAGAAAGTATCTGTTTGGTAAAAGGAATATCTTTTGACATTTTAAAGAAAATCCAAAACAAACTCACTTACCTAATTCATTTTGATTAAAGTAACAAATTACAAATGCCTGACATTACAAATGCCTAAAGTAAGCGTTTAATGATAATGGAGAAATAATGATGTAGGGAGTTGAGTAGGAGCAATGTCACTCAATTAGTCAGTAACATTTTTAAAAGAATTATTTAATTTATTTATTTATATTTTATTTGACTAGAGAGGGGAGAGAGAGAAAAGGAAAGTGAGAAAGCAACCTGCCAGGTCTGGGACTCAAACCACAGATGACCATGTGGAAATACAGTGCCCTTAACCATCATGCCACCTGCCAGTCCTGAGTCAGTAAGATTTGAACCTTCCTGTAAGAACCCCTATGATGAACTGAAATTTCAGGGTATTTGTTTCTAATTTCAGGTTTTGGGGATAGGAATTTCAGCCATACTCATGATCTTCTCCTTCCTGGAATTCTTCGTAGCTTTTGTCGTATTCTATTTTGTCATTAAGGTGAGTCCAGCCTCTTCCTTATCAAATAATTTGAGTATGTGCTGTAGAAATACAGACTTACATGTCTGCTAGGCTGACTGGAGCCCACTTTAACCCTGACTCTGATGGGGAAGAGGAGACTGAATCGGACTGCAATAACATTAGTGCTTGTTTTCACTCATTCTTTCCAGAGTAACTGAGGTTCATCCAGCTGTGTAAGCAAACAGCTCCATGGCACCAGACTATTCATCAGCTCCATCCAGAAATAATGGTCTCCAGGCTCATACCCCGACAAATGAAAAGAAAAAGAGGTATCAGTCCAATTTCACGGGGTAAAACTACTCTGCAGAAACTACTTAAGAAGCTTTTACTGTCCACAATGATCACTGAGCTCTAAGACTGAGAATTGTAAAATTAATTCATCACTGATGGAAACCCTGTCTCCCTGTCACTGTTTCTTCCTGCGTACCACCATTACACACAAAGGTGAACGGCCAGAGGAGTGAAAACGGCTCTGCAACTCTCTTAAAGTGACAAATTATCTTGTGCATACTATCTTTTCCTCAATAAAATATTATTAAAAATAAAAGCTTTTTTGGTATTTCTTTAACATTCTTAATGGCTTAGTATTGGTTGTAGAGCAGGAGGACATCAGACTGATACAGTGTCTTTGGTGGTAATGTGCAACGTCTGTTGACTGCGTTGTGTAGTTCTAACAGAAACACGTGAGTGAGACAGAGATTTATAAAGAAAATAGGTTTATTTGGCTCATGATTCTGGTGACTAGAAAGTCTAAAGGCATGGGGCTGGAATCTGGTCCTGTCACTGCACAGCTGAAAGAAACAGGAAGGAAGGCAGACGTGTGCAAAGAGGGGTCGAGAGAGACCTGTGAGTAGCCAACTTGCTTTTACAACAACCCCTCTTGGGGGAACTAACTAATGAAAACCAGTTCTCTCCCAGGAGCTGGCACTGATTAGTCCTGAGGGACCCACTCTCCCATGTCCCAGGTACTTCCCAGTTGCCTCACATCCCAGTGCTGCCCCACTGGGTATCCTCACATCATGGGGTTTCAGATGACATGATAGTCAAAGCACAGCAATGTCCAAGTCACTGGAGTTCCTTTACTCATTTTCTCCTCCCCTTTCTGTTCAGAGAGCAAATGCCTAACTGCCCTTGTTGAGGGTCTTGTTATTTTGTACATTGATTTCATCAAATACCTTGCCTTTTGGATATCTAAAAGGTTTTGCTATTTACAGAGCATTTTCATTTACTTTAAACTTATTTGCAATGACCTAATTGCAGGATGAGGATTGTGCATTGTGGGATTTTCACTTTGACTTCAGCTTTTTCTTTTTATGTGGGAGAAATGTGGACATTTAAAAAAGCCAGTGGGGATAATCCAGGTCAGAGAGAAAGGATGAATGGCATCCTAAGAATACAGAGATCAAAACTATAGATGGAGAACTCCCTAAGCCATCAGGAAGGGCAGGTTCTCTACATAGCAGAAGAAA